ACCCCTGGGCTTTCCCGCCCCGCCGGGCGGAGTCTGGGACGCGGGAGGGAGGGAGCTCAGCGGGTAACCAGGGCAACCCGGAGGGGAAAACTTCTGCCTGGGCGGTTCGGGTTTGGAGCCCGAGGGCTGGAGATCTCGCCGGCGCGTTGCGGAACCTTCCCGACCCTAGAGGCCGGGGTCTGCGTGGGCAGCGGAGTGGTGGCCGCTTTCTTTGAGTTTGGGGTGTATTTTAATTTTTCTAGTGAGGGCATCACCCTTTTTCAAGCCCAGGCTCTCGCCTCCCACCTACCCGGCCCATCGTGTCCCAGTGTGCTGTCCGGGGACAGAGCGATCGCACAACGGCCACCTGGCAGCCTGAGCGCGTGTGGGAAAAAAAAGAGGAAAATCCTCTTGCAGCGCGGAGGGCCCCGCCCAGCTGACCCCGGGGGCGGGGCGGGGCATCTTGCGGTTCTTCGCCACCTCCTGGGCGATGCTGAGCTGCAGGAGTAGGAGAAGGCCTGGTGGGGGCTTGGCAGAGCCCTGGTGTACCAGAAGTGCTCGGCTGGGCATCTGCTACCGTCCGGCCTGTCGGAGACCGGCGCTCCGAAGCGCCTTATGAAAAACACAGATTTCCCCAAAAAATCCCAGCCTCCCCACTCCATTGGGACTCACTGTCTCCTCGGAGGGTGCACTAATGTCCGTGTGGAAAGAGTATCTGACCCCACCAGGTGAGGTGTCTGGGAAAGCGGGTGGGTGGGGCCTTGCTGGCCTGGACAAGCATCTCACTGAATCTTCTCAGTGACCCCCCGCCCCGGAAATAGAAACCACTCTTCTCATTTGAGAGGAGAAAACCCTAAGCCCAAAGTCACAGTGGGTGACAGTGTGAGGGTCCCAAGGAAGGTATAGGTCATGACTTGGGCGTGTCCCACCCACAACCGCCCCCATTCTTTGGTATTCGAACCCTCTCATCTGGGTATCACAACCCTGTCCCCTGATTAAGGAAACTTCACCCATGCCAAGCACTTTCTTTCTCCCAGCCTTGGTTTCCTGTTGCTTTCATGGCAGCTCATTAGCTACAGGGAGGCTTCGAGTCACAAGCAAAGGATGCGTTTCCTCTGTCCACCCATGTCCAAGGCCGTAGGGCACGGGGTCTCTTCGAGGGGACACAGCCCAGGGCCTCTCCTTAGCTGGTCAGTCCGATTGTATTCCACACAGAAACTTCTTGTCTTAGACCTGGGCAAGCTCGGTCACGACATAAATATGTCTTCAGAAACCGACACTGCATGGACACCTGACATACACGCACAAAAGTAACCTTGTCTCATACAGAAACTTCTTGTCTTAGACCTGGGCAAGCTCGGTCACGACATAAATATGTCTTCAGAAACCGACACTGCATGGACACCTGACATACACGCACAAAAGTAACCTTGTCTCATTAGCAGAAACTTCTTGTCTTAGACCTGGGCAAGCTCGGTCACGACATAAATATAAGTCTTCAGAAACCGACACTGCATGGACACCTGACATACACGCACAAAAGTAACCTTGTCTCATTTAACTTGGGGTGAAAATGGAAATCGCGTAAATATTGTAGCAGGGATTATATGGAATGATGTTTTTCCATTAAATCTATCTATACAGAGATTTTAATGATAGAGCACCATGTTTATATAATACCTATGTAGGGAAAAGATTAGTTTACAATGCACTATGATCATATGCAATTTTTAGGTGTGATGAAAATAAAATATTTTGTAATGTTTATGGGAGTTTAGATGGAATAATTATAAGTATTTTCGCTACTGTTTCTTCATGTTTCTCCCATTTTTTTTATAAACATGAGCTTTCTTATAATAATACAAAAAATATAAATAAAAATTAAGATTCTCATATGAAAGACTTACTAATTCTATTACCTTAGTTAAGTAACATCTATATAATACTTTCTAATATGGCACCAGATGCTGTCCGAAGTGCTTTGCAAATATTAACTCTTGGTGTCATTACTGAAGGGCAATAATGTTCCTGTCAGGAATGAATTTTAGCTATAAGTAACAGAAACCTGAACTGCAGTGGCCTGAAAAGAAGTCTGGAATTGGTTGATACCAAGGTAGAATTAGAGGATCAATGAAAGCAAGTCCAGATGGATAGAGATCTTAGTATTTTCCTCATAGTTACAAGATGGCTGCAGAAGCTCTAACATCATGTCTGCATTGAAAACCAAAAGAAGAGGGAACAGTGCCAGCTCATTCTGCTCCCTTTTTACAATGAGTTCCAAACTTTTTCCCAGAAACTCTTCTAGCTGTGCGCTGGAGGGATTCACAGGCCACAATTACTTGGACTAGTGGTTCTCGTGGTAGTGGGGTATTTGGAAAGATAAAGGATCAGTTTTTGTAATGACCTTTCAGTTGGGGCAGGAGAGGCTGCTGGTCTGTCCTGCAGATTGCAAGGCAGCCTTCCTCATCAAAAGCTGTCTTGCAAAAGATACCCACTGAGACTGCCACCTACTACTTGGACCTGAGTAACTGCAGGTTCAAACAGAATCAGGGCTCTGTGTGTGAGAAGGAAGAGGGAGGTGGAAAGAGTATTGGCCCGACACCAGCCTGTCTGCCCTGATCCCTGCCGCGACTCCTGTTTGCGAGGTTCCTGAGAGCTGCTCGAATTAATCTGTGACTTCCCTTTGTCCCGTGGAGTTCCGGGCAGCACGACGGTGCTGGTGGAGCTGACCCCCGACATCCACATCTGCGGCATCTGCAAGCAGCAGTTTAACAACCTGGACGCCTTCGTGGCCCACAAGCAGAGCGGCTGCCAGCTGACCGGCGCTTCTGGGACAGCCCCCAGCACGGTCCAGTTTGTATCAGAGGAGACGGTGCCGGCCACCCAGACGCAGACCACTACCAGAACCATCACCTCCGAGACCCAGACCATCACAGGTACCACCGGGGGCTCGGGGTGAGAGGAGGCCTGGATGCAGCCCAGACACCTCCGTGGAACTTGTTGGAATACCTTCCCAGGGCCCACCCCCTAGGCTCGCTGACCCATTAGTTTTAATGAGCTCTGCCGGGACGCCAGCTGGCCAGCCAGGCCTGGGAGCTGCTAGGCTACAACTGCACTAGTGGTTCAAGGTGTTGTCACTTGGGAAGCAAGACAGACAAAAACCGGGTTTCTAAAACAAAACTCTGTCCACTAAGAAAAAAAAGAGTAGCACTGCAATAAAACAAGGGGTGTTGGGGTGGTAGGAGTATGTGTGAGCCTGGGTTTTCGTGACTTTTGTGAAGGGACAGAAGACATCGTGATTTGTTTTCTAAATCTACAAATCTGCGTTGGTGTTATCTTTCCTTTTGCCGTTGACCAGGAACAAGCCCGTCCCACGCCTCTTCTCCGTTGTGTCCGCCTAACCTGTCAAAGTTGAGAGATCAAGATTTTTAACACACAAAATGAGGCTGCAGGAGTTCCGGAATAAATACACCCAGACATACACACACACGTGCACAGATAACACGCCTGTGCTCACGCTTCTACCCTTCTGCCTGTGTCACGTGTCCGAGGGGACCAGGAACCCATTTATGAGCTGCTGTAGTGCGTGGGGATATTTAAAACCAGTGCTGGGCCTCACAGGGAAATGCAGAAATGTACTCTTTACGTAAAGGCCTGCAAATTTAAGTTTTATAAATATTTTGAAGTGCTTACCAAAGAAGGTGGGCTGTAGACAGACTCCCTGCCCAAGAAAAAGAACCATAAATGTGATTGCAAAAAGAGTTGTATTTTTTCCAAAGTGAAAAAAAGAATCGAAAGACAAACTTGGGGGGGAAAGCAGCAGGTATGACTAACCTAACCTAACATCCTTCATATACTGTACAAAGAACTCAAATACAGTGCGAGCACACACACACACACACACACACACATAAAAAAAGAACCAAGTGATCATACCCTTAAGGGCAACAGGTGATACACAGGAGCCACTGAGCACCAAAGCACACGCCCTGCCAGGTACTGTTCCTCCTGCCTGAAGCCGACTTGCTTCTCCATGATGGCAGGGCTCAGCTGAAGGCATTTCCTCAGAGTTCATCGCTGACACCGCACGCACTCACACGCACACAGGTCCCTTGCTATCACTAGGTGGTTATTGGAGATGCCCAGTTAAAGTCTGTCCCCATCACTGACTGGTGGGTACCATGAGGACAGGGCCGAAGCCCTCTTGTGGGCTGGCACCCATCCTGCACCTAGAAAGACCCTGGCACGAGGCACACCTACCCGCTGAGTGTGAACAGCTGTCAGTGTCACCTCCACTGGGGAAGCCGCTTCCCCGTCCTCCCTCCTGGTCCGTTGCTCGGGATGCCTGAGGTTGGTCCTCTCTGTGCCCAGCCAACAGAGGTGTCTCCTGCCCAGCACAGAGAGAGATGTAAGGTCCAGAGCTGGGCTGCTGGATTCGCACCCTGCCCACTGCCTGCTGGCCCCATCCTGTGGGCAGGTCCTTCTCCGCCCACTGAACAAGTCATTCATTATGGAGTCACTGGCCCTGCCAGAATGGTCCCTGATTAATGCAGAGACTGTGAGCGGGTGGAGAACAGGCAACACCGTCTGCCTAAGTTTTGCCACTGCTTGACTCAGCCTCTGAGCCATGCCAGCCGAACAGGCAGAAATCCTGCTTTCCTTTCCCTTTTACACCCAGGTGGTTTTCTGGGTCCAACTTGCCCGCACTTTTAGGCATCACTGTTCCCTGAGCTGTCTGTTCCCAGACCTGTGTGTGGGCCAGCACCCCAGGAGCGCACTGAGACACCGGGGCCCAGGCTGCCCCTGCACAATCCGCTCCCCGGGAGAGGCTGAGGGTCTGCATTTCTAACCAGCTGGGTACCCAGGTCTCACGCCCTGCCTGCGGCTGCACCGATTCTTCCAGATGCCCTCCGGAGTTATTTTCTAGGCTTGTTTGTCCTCGGTTCAGCCCAAATTACTAAGGAATTTAGGCTCCTATTCCAAAGGAATAGGAATCCTCACTCACCTCCTATTCCTAAGTCTCCCCTGCGCCCAGTGCTTGTGGTGCAGGAGGTGACGGTTATTCTCTGCACTCTGGCTTTGAAAGCTGCCTATTGTTTGGCCTGTACATTAAGAACTTTCTCATGAAAGAAGTAAAACTTGATAGTGATGCTGCTGAAAAAAATGGGCAGCCCTCGCGCATTTGCAAAGTTCATGGGTTAAAATCATGGGACTTTGGCATCGGGTCCCTGAGTTTTTGGTTTGGTCTGGTCTGGGTTTCTCACAGTGCCGGGGCTGGAATCCAGGGCCTGTACCTGCTAGGCAAGTGTTCCGCCACAGAGCTACCCCGCCACCCCGAAGCCAGGTCTCTAAGTTTGAATCTTGGCCGATCCTTAGGAGCCACACTATGCTGCTGCCAAGTTACGAGAGCCCTCAGTGTCTCATTTTAACACTGGGACAAGGATAAGTAGAGAGGCAACAGGGTTTGTTAGGAGTCTGTGTTCCTGGGACAGGCTGCCTGCGATGGAATCCTGAGTAGGACCCTTGTGAGCCTCACGACCTAGGGCACATGACTTACAGGCTGTGATTCCACTTTCCCCACAGTGACACCAGCGACTTAAAGGAGTTTTGATTCGGTCCACGGTTTCAGGGGATTCGGTCCATGGTTGGCTGGCTGCAAAGGAGGCACATCGTGGTGGAAGGGCACGGTAGAGCACAGGTGCTTAGCTTAGTCCATAGCACTGTGACACAGAGCCAGGAAACGCCAGAGAGGAGAGGCCTGGGAACCAGATACAGCACCTAAGGCCGTCCTCCAGGATCTACCCAGACGTGCCCATGGATGTGCCTCACTAACCCCCTGGGCATCTCTTAAGCAGCCCGGTTGGCACAGGATTCATAGTCAACACGTAGTGGGGAGAGGGTAGCGGGAAAGCCGGAAGCTGGGCTGCGCTCTTCCGGTCCACATGAACAGTGTCTGAATGGCAGCATCAGACCAGGCCACGTTATGACCACCTGGCCGCGTCCAAGTCTAGAAAGAAAGAGGACATCATCCACCTTCCCTGCTCCTCTTAACCTCAGTGATGGCTAGGTCTTTACCTGTTAAAACTTTAGCTCATACTGGTTCACTTGCGTCCCCAAAAGCCCCTATTTCAGGCTTTCCTAAGTCTCCCCCAAAAGCTCCCAACACAAGCCCCAAACCTAGAGTAAGCTCTCCAGAGTTCCGTGGCGCAAGGTTCCTTCGTTGCAGTGATGAATAAACTGATACAACTACTGGTGTGTCCTGGTCGTCTTTGACCAGAGAACAGTGACGCAGGGAAGGCCAGGCCACCTAATTGATTTTGAAAACGTTCAGAAAGAATCTCAAGATTCAATTTGGCCGTGAGCCCCAAATAAGTAGTTTAATGTCTAGTTCACTAGACTGTAAATCTCCCTGCAAGTAGGGACCCAGAGAGTCTTGCTTTCTGCCCATGACACCAGGCCTGATACAAGGTAGGCATTCGATAAAACTGTCCTGGCATGAGGGCAGGAAAGGGCTTCTGTAGGGAATAAATGGGTTAAAGTGCAGAAAGCATTGAGGCATGGCACCCACCCCTTACAGGGACCCCAGAAAAGACAGTTTGGGGGTAATTGTGCATCTGAGGTCACAGAGACATTTGCCCCTAGAGAAGTCCAAGCCCCTCACTTGATCACGTGATGTACAAGCCCAGCTACTTGTGGTAAGTGCAGCATAAAGGTGCAAAGAGTTCACAGCACATCTGTCCCAACCAGGAGAGCCAGAGGAAAAGAACTGAATGTGATCAAATATATGATAGGCCTTGAAAGACAAGGATATGAACCCATCCAGCCACTCCCAGGCTGGCTTCTAAGAGGAAGAGGCTGGGAAAGGGCCACGTCCAGTGGACCGGAGCAGGGGAGAGGAATTACACAATATCAGAGTGTGTGGTAGGAACTGTGCTTGAGCTTTGGCTTTTCTCCTGGAAAGTCGCTTAACGTGTCATTCAGTAAGACAGCGAGAAGGATCAGGCCATAGTGATGTGTCAGTTCACTTTTCAGTTGCTGAGACAAAATACCAGACTCATACAGCTTAAAGGAGGAGACATTTATGTGGTTCATAGTCTCAGAGGTTTTAGTTCATGGTCAGCTGGCTCCAAGGCAGAAACATCATAGTGGAAGGATGCAGTGGAAGAAAGTTGCTTAACTCACAGCATCCAGGAAGCAGAGTGCAGGAGGAGAGCCAGAGAGGAACAGGCCAGGGGCCGGATATGGGCCCCAGGATCATGACCCCATGCCTCTCCCTGACACACCCAGAAGCATGCTTTACACTCAAGCCAGGCATGTTGACGATGCAAATCAATTATCACAAACTATAATAGCTAATTATTCTGCTTGTGCTTTGTAGTTTCCAACGTATTTATACGAAGCAGTTTTTCATGGCCATACATTAGTTAAAATCATGATCAGCCCCATTGTATTCATGGTGAAACTGTGGCACAGGAGGATAAATAACCTGCCCAAGACAAAGGGACTGACAAGGACAGAAGGGAGCAGGACTGGGTCTCAAAGCCACACTTCCTGGTTGCAGAATCTTTTCTCTTAAAGCCACACCCACTGCCCTGGAGGTGAGTCGTCACTGCAGTGTGTTTCAGACTTATTCATGTGGAACAGCGGCTGGATGCATAGGTGAAATGCAGATCCCCCGGCCCCTCTTCCTGGGGATAATGCCCTAGTGAATTGAGCAGAGTCCTGGATGCTGAGCCAGCCTGGGAGTGGCTGGCTGGGTTAGTTCACGCGTCTTTTGTTCTTGTAACAACGTGAAACTAAAAGGACAGTTAAGATGTTTATCACCACCAGCCCCAGCGAGAGCAACAGGTGAGGCAGATGAGAGATCAGTTCCACAGCTCAAAGGTAACGATTTCTTTGCATGTTCTTGCCAAGCCCTGCGCCCCTCCGCAGACCC